CAGGACCCCCCTGGGCGGGTGGCTGGCTGCCCACGTACATGCGAGGAGGGGACAGGCAGCTGGAAAGGGGTGGCATCGTAAGATCCAGGTCACTCTGCACTGTCAGATGGTCTCAGGCTGGAGGTGGCAAATACCGTGCTCTGGGCAGCCCCTGCCGGCCCTGTGCTCCCAGCACGGAGCAGTGGGAAGAGCCGGGGCGCTCCGGCAGGCAGATGGGCATGCGATGGGCTGCAGCGTGGAGTGCTGCCCCGTGGGGTGCTGCCCCGGCCCGTGACTCGGTCCCGCTGCTCACTTTCAGAGGCAACATCAGCTGGAGGAAGGATGACTCAGACATTAAAATACAGCATAGATTTAAAAATAATACAAACCCCAAAGTCTGTTTTCCCCGGTACGGGTGCTCTGGGTTAATTTTAGGTAGCCCAGAGCACAATTTGCTCTGCTGAAACCACTTCGTGGTACAGTTACTACACCTGTGGATTTGCCTCTGGCCAGCAGGCACACACTTGGGAGGGGAGAGACAAGGGCTGGTGTACCTCCCTGTGATCTGGGGTGATGCTGGGGATGGGTCAAGCATCAGGCTCCTTGCATTGCTGGCAAACCCCAGAGCTTGGCCACAGGTGAGCTGGGCGCTGGCCATGGCATGGAGCTGAGCTCGCAAACGCTCGCCAGCAGGTTTTTGTAAGTTCCTGAAGGGGCCTTCAGGACCTGAGGGTAAAACAGCTGAGGAATGCGTGGAGCCTCTGGTTTTGGGATGTAGGAGTCCATCACTTCTCCATGCGATGGGGCACTAAAGGGGGTGATGTGGGGCTCTCACACCCCGCGTCCCTGGTTCCCGCATGGGGAGTACGGCTGCTTCTAAGACCTGTGCCTGCTGTAACCATGTCTGTTCCTTGTTTTCTCTCTCCCAAACAGTGACCTTCTTCCCAGCCACGTTAACTCTCCCCGTAGGCAGCTCAGCCACCTTCTTCTGCAACATCTCCACGGAGAATGGCTCCAGCTCAGAGTACAGCCTCAACTGGTACAAAGAGACCAACCACAGCCAAGCCCAAAAAATTGCTGAGATCAGCCGGAACAACCTCCAGACGAAGATGGAGAAGTACCTGCTCACCAATCACACTCCTGCATTCAAGATCGAGATCCTGAACCTTCACCAGAATGACTCGGGCTCCTACTACTGTGGGCTGATCGCCTTCTTTGAACCAGATAAAGTGATGGAGAGCAACCGGTCCCACCTGGTTGTCACAGGTCAGCCTGGGGGCTGAGCTGATGGGGATGGGTTGTTGGTGTTGTCCTGTGGTGCTATGGTCCCCAGGCAAACTGAGGCCCAGGGCACAAGGCAGGTCTGGCCCTGCTGGGGGAGGAACCTGGTGTGAGTCAGGAGAGCACAGCTCTGCCCTTTCCCCTCTCCTTTGCATGCCTGGTTGATGCCCAGGGATACAGGCTGTCCTCCTGCATCCACACTGCGGCTGGATCTGGCCCTGAAACAGGAGGTCTTCCATCCTGCTGGGGCTGTGTCCCCAGCAATGCTGTGGGGAGGAATGAGTCCTTACCCATGGATGGAGTCAGGACAGCAGTGTAGGGAGCTGTCTGCACCCTGAACAGCTCCTTTATTTGGGGACAGGGCTTGTGTTTGGGGTGATGACCAGGGCTCTGCCCCCTTGAGCAGCCAGTGTTGGTGTAGATACTGTTCTTGCGAAACCATGCCCTGGGAGGATCTCGTAGCTCCATGGTGTGGGAGAGTGAGATCTCATATGCCGTGCACTTGCTTGGCAGCATGGAGTCTTTGCAGGGGATGGAGATGGCCTTTTATAAAAAGGAAGAACACTGCAAAAGTTACTGTCTGTCACAACATCTCCTCCCAACGCCAGCTGAAGCTGTGCTGGCCCCAGGACGCGGAAGCAGCTGGGAGGCTTGGGGAAGCCGTGTCTTCCATGGAGCTTTGCTGGGCATGGGGTCATGCCACAGGACTGCAGTGTTCTGGTCCCTTGCACCCCAGCTCTCAGCAGCGTGGGATCATCCTCACCACCTGCAATGGGAAGGAATGGGACATGGCCAAAACATCCCCAACATCAGCCCAAATTCAGGGCTCCTGGAGGGATGGTGAGGCTGTGGCAGCCTGCCTGGGACTGAGCCCTTTCTGGGTACAGCCCCTGTGTTCTCCTGTTCACTTTCCCAGGGACTACAGAGGCCATTTTACACTCCTGACATGCTGTTTTGTTCCCCCTTTTTTGGATGGTTATTATAGCAGCCCCTGAGAAGACAAACACCACTGATGAGCCCGAGATGGAGGAAGGCAATCCCCTGGACCATATCAAGGCTGTGCTCCTGGGCATCCTGCTGTTTACTGGGGCAGTTGTGCTGCTGATCTTTGGCTACCTCACCATCACGTACAGGAGAGGAGGTATGATCCCCCGTGGAGGCCGTGCTGCACCAAGGGGCTGGGGCCTGCTAGGGGACCTGATGGGGTGATGCTTATCCAACAAACGCAGCTTGAACCCAGGGGCAGCCAGATGCCTGCAGCTCCTCGGGGTACACAGGCAGGTTCAACATGCTAAACTCAGCTGTGGCACGTCCCCATGAGACAGGTGTCTCCATGCCTAAGGGAGAAGAGTGCTTTGGGTCATGCTTACCCTTCATGGACCCCCCAGGCTACGTGCTGTGGCTCTGAACTGCTCACTAGCGTGGTGTCTTAATGCTGCATGTGGGTCTGTCCCATTCACCTTGCCCAGGCACCTTCGGGGCATCTTCTTGTCTCCTCACCACAGCACTGGGCATCGCCTCGGCCATGCCATGGGCAGCCGAGGGGGCTATCCCAGAGGTGACTCCTGAGGAATTGCACCCCACTAATCCCAGTTAAACCCTAGACCGTGGGCTGGTATCTCACTTGTCCTTGTAATGGTCAGGGTGTTAGACCCTGAGTGGAGAAGGAGGAAGCGCGGTGCAATGGTTGTGTTGTCCAGCGCTCCTAGGATGTGGGGGCTGGCTCAGCCCCAGCCGCAGATGCTCACGCTATCTTGGCACACAAACATCTTCTAACCAAATATGTTACTTTGCAGATGTGCAGAAACCACCAAGTGAAAACACGCCAGTGGTGAGTTTTCTGTCTCTGATGTCCTGCCGTGCTGCGGGGGGAGCATTGTGCCATTGCTGGGGTGCGGAGGGTGCAGGGCTTCCCTTTATCAGCCCTGCACAGACTTCTCACTTCTGTCTTCTCTGATGCTGCTAGATCTTTTCTGCACAGCTATAACTGCTTTTTTGCACCTGCAGCACAGCCCCATCGCAATCAAAAAACTGCCTGAGATAGGATGGGACCTCTGTAGTCCAACCTTTGCTCAAAGCAGTGTTATTTTTGACAGTGGATTGTGTTGCTGTAGAAAATGGGAGAAAATGTTCCCCCCCACAATAGATTAAGCTAAAGTTTCTCTTGCTGCAGCTAGTCCCTGTTCCCTCTCTTTCTTTTGCTGGGCACTGCCGGGAGGAGTCTGGCTCCATCTTCTCTCCAACCCCATTAGGTAGCTGAAGGCAGTGAGTAGGTCCCCCCTTGCTCTCCCCTCTCTGGGCTGAGAAAACTCAGTCCTGGGATCTCCTGCCCCCTGTGCCAGCTCAGAGCCCGATGGAGAGGTGGGAAAAGGGCTCCTAGCATGCCTTGCCTTCAGTGAGCGGGCTGGCAGGGAGCTCCACCTGCCTGCAGAGGCAGAGACCTGAGACCCACATGGCCTCAACGGTGACCCCAAGGCTCATGGTCTGGTTTCTCTGAGCAAATGCTGTCACAGGTCTGTGCGTCTTTCTGCTTTGTATTGCTGTTGCACTCCTGGGATGCTTCGGAGCTGGTTTTCACACTTGCTGTAGAAAGGGGGCTTGTGCTGGGGATGGTGGATACCTTCAGATGATGAATCGCCCTGACGGGTTTTCCTTGCAGAAGGAAGAGAAGCCCCCTGTGGTGTCTGTGTCCACTGTGGACTATGGTGTGCTGGAGTTTCAGTGGGACCAGTGCACCCAGGTGCCCCCTGAGACCCGACCGGTTGACCAGACTGAATACGCCACCATCATCTTCCCAGAGGAGAAACCCATTACACCGGACCAGGGGAAGAAACACCTGGATGAGAGGACTCGGCAGCTGCATTTGCAGCCCTGCTGAGGGCTGGGGTCCCTCCTGGCCGGGGAGTGCGGGCAGGGACAGGCTGCCCTGGCCCCTCGCTCCCACCGCAGTTTGCAGTTGGGAAAAATCCAGCGTGCAAGGACTGGAGCGACAGAGACAGCGCTGCTGGGGTTGATATTGGACAATCCGGGCCACGGTGGGATCGTGGCTGTGGGGTGGGATGAGAAAGGTCCCTGCTAGGTTCTGCCTGCCACATCTTCGTTCAGGGTAGAGAGGATGGGCTGGGCCAAAGCAGCAATGCCAACAGGTCTCTCCCAAAGGCGATTGCTTTTGGGTTCATGCCTCATGCATCATGCCTCGGTTTTCTACCTCTACCTCTGGCTCTCTGGAGTGGCCACACTGCTTCCCTTACCCAGGTCTGACCCAACCAGTAAAGCACGACTGTGGGAGGAAGCTCCAGAGGCCAGAGCTGGAGTGGATCCCAGGAAATGCTGTTCGCGGGAAACCCTGGGCAGAGACTGCCTTGTGTACGGCTATTTAAAGAAACCCCTGGGAAGAGGGTGGCTGGTTTTCCTCCTGTCTCCAGGCACTTTCCTCCTCCCCCAGAGGGGAAATCCAGCCCCGTGTCCCTCCCTCCACAGGTGGGAGATGGATCTGGCCCTGCGGAGTGAATAAAGGGTTTCATGTACGGGGAGTTTGTTGACTTGTGATGGCAAACGCGTGGGCAGGCAAATAACGGCTCTTGGCAGCGCGCAGGCAAGAGCCGGGAGGCAGCAGCGTCTGTTGTGGTTCCTGGGCCTCTCTGTGTGATACGCAAGCTGTTCTTCCACAAAGCTGCTCTTAATAATTCAGAGAAGCCGCTGCTCTTTTTCTTCTTGCCCCTGTCTAGCCGGTCACCAAGGTGCAGCTGCAAACCAAGCCCACCCTTACCAGGCTCATCTCAGGGTGCTTGCCCAGCCCGTTGGGGATGAGCAGCCCTGCCATGCTGGTGGCCTGGGTGCCATCAGCCAGGGCAAAGCTCACAACATGGTGCTCGGTGCAACTTTCTGGCTCCAAACTTCCATTTTCCCTCTTGAAAGTGATGCCAGGGCCATGCTTCCTGCCAGAAACCAGAACAGAAAGAAGTGACAACTGCTTGAGAGGGGAGAAACCTCAGTAAGGAGTGGCTTCGGAGGCAGCAGAGACCTGCCAGGAGACAATGAAACCCAGCGGAAACAGAGAAGAGTCACTTGCATCTCACACCTTGGTGGCAGTGTCAGCAGGTTTCTTTTTCTCTTATCCCCAGTAAAGCCAGCGCAGCCTTGCGGGAACCAGCCTGGGAGCCGGGTGAAGGGGTGAGGCATGCCAAGCACCGCAATTTGTCCCCTGTGGGGGCTGGAAAGTCCCCAAGGAATATCCACAGGGGACCAGATGAGATGAACATCCATCTGGGATGGCTTTCACTCTTCCTCAGGATAGGAGAGTGGATGTGGTGGCCCATCTTGGTCTCTGGTGCCACTGAGGGCTCCCAGTAGCCACCATAGGCAGTGCTGTAACTCCCACAACATTCACTCATGCCAGCACATGGCTCAGCCCTTTGGGGCTTTTTGCAAGCAGCAGCCCTGCTCCTTGCCCCAGTGGCTCTGGCAGAGACCTGCTGTGGCTGGCCGGGCTCGGCTCGCCCGGAAAGCTGAGGCAGGAGGCAGCCGCAGCGGGTGAGAAGCAGGAGCTCAGTCAGCAGTTTTGTTTTTTGCTTTCCCATCAGACATGACGCCAGCGAGAGGGTGGGCCCTGCTTCATATTTTCCGTCCTGCGTCTTGGGCAGTGGAAGTGCTGGGTCTTCATCCCTTCCCGCACCTCCCAGCTTCCCGCATCCCCATGGCTCCTCCAGGAGCAGGCTGGGCTGGGTCCCTTCCCCTCTCAGAGATGGTGGTCTACAGTCAGCCGGAGGGTCCCGAGCCAGATGGTGGAGCTGGAGGTGTAGCAAAAGCATCTCCCGCTGCCATTGGGGATGGAAGAGCACCCAGCCCGTGGCAGTACCTGTGCCCCTCCAGCTCTCCAACCGCCTGGCTGTGATCCTGCTCCTTGAAGGGAGCAAGGCTGGGGACCTGGGACACATGGGGTGAGTGGTGGGGATGCTGACAGGCACCATCTCTCATCCCTGTTTGGAGGACAGGGTTCCCAGCACCAGCAGAGACCCGAGCTACGCTCCCCTGCACTGGGCACGGCACTAGCGGTGCTGGCCAGCGCAGGAATGGGGCTGGGATTAGCTTCAGGTTTCGAGCTCCCAACTGAGCATCCCCAGACCAAGCAGTGCCCTGAGCTGGGTGTCAGCCCTCACATCCCAGCATCCTGCTTGGGGATGGGGAGCCGAGCGTGTTTGTGTGCAGGAGCTACTCTTGTCTTTCCATGCAAGCCAGGAGAGCAACCGCTGACCATTTTGATTCTCCCTCCAGCATGGTGATTGTAGTTCAGTCTTCCTGGAGTCACTGTGTGGGATCTGGAGGAAGCTGTCTTACCTCCCATCCTGAGAAGTCCCCAGTTCTGGATTTCCCAGCTCCACCATCCCACATTCCTCCTTCCCCTCCCTCCAGATCACAGCCCTCCTGCTTTTGCCCAGCACTGCACCCATCCCTGCTGGCAGGTTTATGCCCCTTTTCTCCCCTCCATATGAAGCAGGGACCCAAGCAAACACATTTCCACCTGTGCTGCTAAGGTTTGCATCAGGTTTTCTGGGCAGGGCTGAGCTGACACCCTCAAGTCCTTTGGCTTTCCCTGCCTACACCAAGAAGGGGCTGGGCTGCGACGCGCCTGTTATGGTTTTGGGGTACATCCTTTCTGCTGCAGCTGCTTTGTTGTCTCCAGAGAGGTGTGAGTGGCACAGTTTCAGTGGTCTTTGGTTTTGGCTGCGGAGAGGATGTTCGCTGCAGAGCGGTTAGGCAGACCCCACCACCTGGCTCTGGTTTTTGACCTCACTGCCTGCAGCATCGCAGCCACTAGCCACCAACAGAGTAAGAGCAAGGCCCTAGCCTGGTCCTCACCATCCCATTTTGGGAAAACTGAGGCTTACAGCTGTGCAAACAGGAGAAGAACAAGGTCCTATAAAATTAAATAGCACCCAGATCAGACTCTCCCATGCTCTCAGCATATCCCATCACTGGGAACGATTCCTGAAAGGTCAGAGGGGATGGGGCGTAGGTTTGGGTCTGCCCACCTCATTCCTACCGATATCGTGATGCGAGTCATGGAGGATGCTCCTAACAGCCGCTTCCCCTGTGCTTTGTGCTCACAAGTGCACAGCATGCAAACTGGGGAGGTTCCAACTTTTTTTCTTTTTCCCCTCTGCCACCCCAGAGCAAGCACCCCCAGCCTGGCCACACACCCTTTTCTGCAAGCACACACAAACGGCCACGAACACACAAATGTGCACACAGCTCCCCACGCAAATTAGTGGGCACACCCCCAGATTTGCACAGCTACTGTGTGCCAAATACACACACCCCTCCCCTGCAGCCCCCCAGCCCCAGCCACCCCATACGTGCACCACGGCTCTCCCCATACCAGGACCTGGGTACAGCCTGGGGGATAGCTGCGGGCGCTGAAGCTGCTGCGTTTCCTGCAGACTCTGGTCTGGGGATTTAGAGCAACCACTTCCGACCACGGACACCTGGCACTCCCCCGAGAAGTGGCTGCTACCACTACCGGTGCCAAAATGCTTCGTCAGCTGCCTGGGACCTCACATCAGCTGGGACCTCCAGAGAGCAGAGCTCGTCTCTGGTCCCACACTGGGGCCTTGCTGATGGCAAATGACCAGATCCCACATGGAGTCCTCAGAGAGATGGGACTGATCCCTATCAGCATCTGCAGGAAGCTGGATGTGTGACTTCAACCTACACCTAAGCAAGCAAAATCCCCTGTGCTAATGCTTGAGAGCAAGCCTGGCTCCTTATATATCCCAGCCTTGATTAAAGGTGATTGGGAACAACATGTGAGAAAATATCCCTTAAAGAAACCTGAGGCCAAAACCCAGGTCTTGAGAAAACTGGGCAGGTAGATGAAGATGAAGTCCTGTCCTGCTGCTTACAGCAGCGTCTTCGAGGAGAGCCATGCCATGGAGCACCAATGCACTATTCCTGCAAAATGGGACACTGCAGATGCTGGGGGGAGAAGGGGCGGTCAAGTCATGTGGCATTAAGGACACGTACAAGTGTGCACTGTCCTGGTCACTGGGAGGTCTCAGAGCTGTGTTTTGGTTTGGGAGAGGTTGGGGTGGAGGTGCTGCAGCAGGGTGTGTGGGTTGATTTGGCTCCTGGGTTAATAGGGTGATCTGTGGGTGGGACTGGTCTGTTGGGCACTATGGTGTGGGACCATTGCCACGGCCTTGACTCGCTGGGAAAGCAGCTGTCGGTCCTGGAAGAGACAGGTTGCAGTGTGCTGGTGGATGCTGTGGCTGGTGGTGGGAGTGATGAGCTGCTGGGCAGGTTGCCTGGACCCCTAACCATGGCCAGCTTGCATGGCCTTGGTGTGTCCTGAGGGGTCCAGACGCACAGCATCTCCTCCGTCCTGTCCCACCAAGAGCCTCGCCCTGCCTTTCGCTGAGCCTGCTGTAGGCTCACAGAACATCTGCATTTCCTCCCACCAGCCTCACTTTGCTTTCTCTAGTTTTGCTTTGAGTCGGCTCCAGGGTTTCTCCTCTCTCTTCCTTCCTTTGTCAGGATGTGCTGCTCGAGGAGGATGCTGGCAGGCTGGATCCTGGCGCGCAGGGACTTGGAGGGCCAGGCATGAGCCCTGCGCCTGCCTGCTCCACCACCACCAAGACCAAACCCGCTGCCCAGCACACCGGGGCAGAGCCTTTTTGGAGGGGGACAAGCTCTCTCCTTCCTCCTGGAGGGACCATCACGAGGCCTACTAGATGACCAGGGAGCCCAAACCCATTTGGGGTAGTACCTGCTCACATCTTCACAGCCACCTCCTCCCTTAATCTCTCCCCATCACTCGGCATCCCTCTCCACCCCAGAAGTGCAGGGTGATGGGGCAACATCCCCTCTCTACAGTCCAGCTTGGGCATATCCCCATTTCTAGAGGATGCCCTTTGCCTGAAATCCGCCCTGGGACACGTGGACTCCTCTGCTCCAAGAGCTTGACTATGACGACAGTCCAGCTTGGAAGGGATCCTACAGCCATTGCTTGTCCCTAGAGGTGGTGGGTTTCACTGTGACAAGGTGACAACCATTCACTGTCAGCAGTGGCAAGGTCGGAGGGGGACAGGGGCGCAGGGAGCTGGTGTGGAGCCATGTCCCAGGACAATACGGATGCCCAGTTCACAAAAAAAAAGAGGATCCAGGAAACTCTAGATGAGTCAGCCTGCCTCCGTACCCAGAAAGCCCCTGGAACAAATTAGTAAGGCCACCAAACGGTAAACACCGAGAGGGCAGAGCTGGGGCTGAGAACACAGATTCGGCGGGAACATGTGTCAAACCAATCTCATTTTCTCTTCATTAGGGCAACAGGCTGGGTACCACAGGGAAAGCGGGAGTGATGCTATCTTTGTCCTGCCTTATGTGACATTCTCACAAGCAAATTAGGAGAATGGGAAATTCTGCCACTGTGGTGGATGGGTACCCAAGAAGATATATCCCATGAGCAGTTACCAATAGCTTCCAATGGCAGACACATCAAACAGAGGTTTTCTGGGGAAGAATGGCTCAAATGAAGGCAATTTGCTATTGAGGAAGGGTGTAGGGGCCATCTGGGAGGAGGGTTATAAATCAAATTCACCCTCATGACCTGGAGAAAAGAGCAAAAATGCCCTGAAAGAATGACTGATGGAAAAGAATTGGGCATATTTAGTGAAGAAAAAGATGAGGGAAGTCTTTAGAGTGGGAAAAAGGCCCTGGTATGAAGTAAGCAGTGAAAAACAGAGAAGTGTTTAGGGTTATGCCTTGTTGCTCAGATGGCAGTCCATCTGTCTTGCAAGCTTTGCTGCACGCACAGACATGGCATCCCCGCTGCTGAGGGGATGTTCTGCTCTGCAGTCCTGCCTGGGGACCAGGGTTGAATGCACATTTCTGCCCCTCCTGGGGACTGCTGGCAGGATGGAGCCTCCTGGGTATGGGGTGACCCCAAAGGGAAGGGATGGATGTCTCAGCAGGGATGGGACACACATGGGCCAAGCAGGACAGTGTGGGGACTTTGTCCCTGGGCTGGAGGGGTAGGCGATGGGGAGGCTGACACACAGTGAGAGATGGAGAGGAGGAGAAAGAACTTTGGGAAACCTTCCTCCTCTCGCCTGGGCGGCTTACCTGGGGGTGGGAGCTGAAGTCAAAAATAATTTCAGGCTGTGCGAAAGCGGCAGGGAAATTACCGCCTGAGCTGCACCTTGTGTTTGCCTCCTTTATTGCATCCCGTGGAGAAGCCACGACCAGCGTGCTGGGATGGAGAGGATTGCCAGGGTCTGTCCCTGGCAGGGGCTGGCCAGGCCAGTGGGATCTTGCTGGGGCTGGGACAGGGATTGTCCTCGGTCCCTGCCAAGGCCAGGCTTCAGGGGGACCTGCAGGAGCAGCTTTTGTTTCCAGGTGGGTGCTGGTAAGCAGCAAGGTGCTCGGGCAGCGCCGGGAGGTGTGTGTGAAGTGGAACAGGACGTCAAAGCAGTTTCAGCTCTGTGGGTGGTTCTGGGAAAGTCCCCTTAGTAAAAGCAAGTCAAAGGCTTTAATAGAGGGACCAGCGCTGGGCTCCTTCTCAGAGATGACTGCGAGGGCTCGGTTCATCGAGAGTCGCGATTTGAGTTGTGTTGCCATGACGTAATGGGGGGCTGGTTTCCATCACAGCCGGGTTATAGAGGCAGGGGCCTGTCCCCGTGCCAGGGGTGCCACCGGACCCCCATTGAGCTGCGTGCCTGAGAGGTGGCATTTTGCCCCCCCGAGGTGGGCATCATGGGGAGCAGTGTCTGCCCTGGTGGGGAGCACCTCTCTGCCCTGCAGCAGCGGCCTCGGGGAGGAAGGGCTGGGCTGAAACCACAGATCCCCCAGATGAAGTGATCAGTTTGTTTGGGTGGATATGAGAGTGCCAGGAAAGACGGCTGCCTCCGTGGGGGGCTCCTCCTCGAAATAGCTTGAGGTGTTAAACACAGGCATGGCTGCCCTCGGAGTAAAGGGGAGATGTCAAAACCTTTAGGTTTTTCCTGCATTCAGCCACCCCCGGGTAAATCTCAGCCTCTAACACAGGTGTCCAAGGGGATCGGCAGATACCGCAGGGCAGGTGGTCCCATCCCCATCTCCTGTTGGCTCCCCATACCATGCTGTGGCACAGCGATGCCAGGCACTGCATGGTGCCAGCTTTCTGCACTTGGAGATCTGCTGCCCTGGAGACCCCTTTGCGGTGGGCTGCACAAAGGGGTCTTCTGTAGTGAACCTATAGAAGTGCTTTGGGAAAGGAGTAGGAGGGGGCCAGGGAGATCTGCTGCTCCCTGTCTTTCTCCCCATGCATCAGACCTGAGCCAGGGATGTCCCCCGGTTCCCACCTGTGAGCAGCAGAAACGCTGGTGGGACAACCCCTCCTTCACTGTCCTGCTTATAGGGTGCTGCCCTAGCCCAAGCGGGACCCCATGCCTCCATGGCAGGGCTCTTGTACAGTCGTGACTCAGGTCCTATCCGCAGGTTACAGCTTTGCTAGCTCTTCATAAGGATCCTGAAGACCTTGGTGTGGTTCCTCTGCTTCCAGGAAACCTCCTTTCATTCCTTCTAGTCCCACTCCAGATTGTAGCATCAAGGCATAATTAAGGGTGGAAGGACCTCAAAGCAGGGAAGAACCTTGAAGCTGAAGATGGGCTCTGCCCCAGGACCTCGTCACCTCCCTCTGCTCTCACAGGAGGGGCAGCGCATGTTGTGAAGGTGCTGGAGGGCTCTTGGTACAAATGACTGTCTGGCTTTTCCCTCCCAGCAGCAAAGATCAGAGACTCCCTGCCAACCTGTGGTTACTGGGACTTATCTACATTGTCTGCCTCCCTTTTGGGATCTGGACAATGAGCCTGATGTGCTAGTGCCTCTTAAGACCTTGCAGCCGCTGTCACCTACTGCTGGCAGCCACCATGTCCCTCTTGCGAGGCCATAGGTGCCGTCACCTACATCCTCAGCAATCCCACTGGCCCAACCGGCTCCAGGGCAGGGCATTGCTGCCTGGGGCATCCAGCTTTTGGGGTGTCAAGCCAGAAGAGCTGCCACAGGGACATACTTCATTTGACACCAATGTGAAGTATTTTAAGCCTTCTAGATCCTTCTGCCCTTTATTTTCTAAGCAGAGCTTTAATATCCTACAGTCTTTGCGTTAAACCCTCCCTGCTTCTGGGAGCCTGAGTGGTGCTCCGGACAGTCAACACAAGGAGCTGCCGTAAGTTTCCATGGTGGCTTCATCCTCAGCAGCCACCTGGCACATTTTCTCCACAGCCAGCCATTTTGGGGAGTTTTGTGGCCTCTCTGTCCTGTTTCAGAGGACAAGATGGTCCTCTGAAAGCTTCACACTAGATAAGATTGCTTTGTTTCCATGGCAAGCTGAGCTTATTTTATCAAGCTGCAGATCTTCCCCTAACTCAATACCAGTTGTCATTTGGCATCTTACGTAACCTGCTCCCCATCCTGCATCACTCTCCATGGGATGTCCTGGTGACCTGCGCACCCGGAGAGAGGTGAGCTGGGGAGCAGAGGGCTGCAGGCAGTCCTGGTCCCACTGTTTATACCTTCCCTGGGTGCTCTCGGCTCGGAGCACACCTCACCTCTTTCGGTCTTACGTGCGGTGCCATCCTCCCCGACTTTCCACCCTGCGGTTTCACATCAGGCCTTTTCCTGCTCGAGTTGGCTGAAAGTTGTTAAAAACAGCCCGTGCTTGGTGGCAGCTATCGAGATAGATAAGGCTACCTGGGGCTTTATCAGCTGCTGAGTCCTGTGTTTTCAGTGGGTTTCGCTTCCGTTATTCCTACGCTACGCGTAAGCTCTGCCGCTACCATGACAGTGATGAGCATGCGCAGCCTGGCAGGGGGTTTCATTTCCAACCTCTCCGCCTATAACAAAGCAGCAACATGAGAGCATGGCTTCAGCAGGGTTGGGGGTTCATGTGTGGGGCTTGGGGAAACCCACCTTGTCCTTGCTTTGGGGCATGTTTCACCTGGTGCAGCGTGAGCAGAGCCTGTTGGCACAGGGATCAGGAAAGGGTGGTGCTGCTCATGTGGGAGCAAAGGTTCCCCTCTCCAAGCACAAAGACGTGCAAAGAGGAAAAGCTTGGGGAAGAGACAGCTGCACACGTATATCAGCACTGAGAAGCTGCAAGCTTAACCCTCAAGCTTGGTCACTGCCTCTTTCCCAGCTCCAGGTGGAACCATGAGGACCTGGAAGGACATTTTTGAAGAGAAGATTGCAAAAATGCACTTAACAGAGCCGTGGATGCTTCAGGAGGATGATACCCTGCAGGTGAACATCCTCAAGCCTGGCTGGAAGGAGTTTGTGCAGCGCCGTGCCCTTGGGAGGTAGGGGACTGCCAGCTTGGGCCCTATCAGAGCGGGACCAGGGACGATGGGCTGCCATGCCCACCTTCCCTTTCTCAAAGTTTGCTTGCAGGAAACAGCTTTTGACCCCCCAAAAAGGGTAGTTTGGAGGTGAGTGAGGCTGGGAGGGGTTTTCCCATTTTGTTCCAAGCTTGGTGAGTTATTGCCAAACTGGAAAAAAATCATGATAATTGGAAGGGAGGGGAGGGGAGTGCGGCAGTTCCATGGAGTCAAATGTCAGCTGGTATTTGGCCAGAGTTTCTCCATGTTGGTGTCAAGATACAAAGAGCTCCTCCGGCAAGCAGGGGTAGTTATACCACACTAGAGCCAAATCTTCTGGGTTTGCACCCAGAGGATGAGGAGGAGAGCTGCTGTCTGCTGGGACATGGGGCAATGCCTGAGCAGTCCCTGCATCTGCACCAGGCTGCAGGGTCCTGGAGCAGCAGGGGCTGTGGTTTTGCATTGCTGATGAGAGGCCCCATCCCAACCATTGCCACCCCAAGCAGGACCCTGGGCACCTACCAGACACCCTGCCCAGGTGGTAGCAAATGGAGACCTTGGCTACCAGCCCCCACACAGATTGTACAAGATGAAAAGCTGCAGGTTACACACCTTTTGACTCCTCAAGACATCTCCTCACCTGCCCTGCAGCCTCCACCCACACCTTCCTTCTATTTTTCTTCTTTTTGTTTTTGACTTCCCCGGCCCTGGGCTTGACGTTGGCTTTCCGCTGAGCTGTGATGAACCGGCATGGGTGAGGGGCTGGAGCCACAAATAGCCCTGGGACCTGAATGCTTCCCACCTCAAGGACCCCTGCTCCTGGCAATAGTGCTGGGATGGGCTAGGAAAGAGGACCAGGGTGGTCCCAGCAGGTAGCCTGGCTCCTAAAATCTTTAATGCTGGGGACAGCCCTGAGCTCACGTCTGTATTGAACTCTCCAGACTGGCATCATGCTGTTACGGGGAGGACAGTTTGGTGTAAAGCTTGCATGAGTGAGGTTAAACTATCAGCCTTGGCTGCCCTGGTCCCTACTGACTGTGCGGGAAGCTGCTGGCTCAGCACAGGGAACCCAGGATGAGCTAGTCTCCTCTGTGCCCTGGCAGGTTTCGGTGCTCCCAGTGCTTTCAGGAGTGGTCTTCTGCCAAAGTGCACGTCCTGTTCCACATGTGCCGGTGCCAGGGCTGGGGCATGGTGCACATGCGAGCCTTTCGCCAGGCGTGCAGGTGGTGCCCCGACCCCCGGCTGGAGGAGGCTGAATTTGACCAGGAGACCGTGGAGAGGCTTCTGCATAACCTGGTGCTGAAGATCCTCCAGTACTTCTATCACGTGCCAATCCAGCCCTCCGACCTCATGGAAGTTGTGGTGGACGCGCTGGTGGCGGGGCCACACAACAGTGGTCTCTGCGAGGGCTGCCAGCTCGGCGTTTGCAGCAAGTCAAGGCCAGCTCCAGCATCAGATGCCTGGAAGCCCTTGATGGGTGCAGGCAAGGCCAGGGCTCATCGCACCCCAAAACGCCAGGGCCTGAGGCCCTATGCAACCTCAACCCACCACCGCTCACCCTCCAACAGCAGCTTCCCCTGGAAAAGCTGCTGCTGCATCAGCATCTCTTTGCTCTGTGTTTTGGCAGTGATCCTCTTCATCCTGCTTTATTTCCTGCTTAATTAGTGGGAGCTGGGGCTCGCAAAGAGGAACACGGGGTGATGGCTGGGGGCGCTGATGGAGCGCCTGGAAAATAGGCTGCCCAAGGTCAGCCCTCTCCTGTGGCATGGCAAGGCTTCCCCAGCTCGTGGGTGGATGAGGACACACTGGGGCACCTGAGCCAGGTACCTTGTCCCACAGCCTCGGGGAGCCTGGTGGGTCTGATGGTTTCTTATGGGACACATTCAGTGTGAGGAAGACCCTCAGCTGCCCCATGCGGCACCTGGAGTGTACTTGCAAGAATAAAACAAGCCCTTTTTCCTCACCCCAGGGATGCATTTGTGCTTTTTAATTTTTCCAAAGCCTTTTCTAGGTACGTGTGAGCAGCTTGGTGGGAAGCTGGGGGCTGCTTTCATTCCACCAGCTGGGCTCAGCTTCCAGGGAGGCACATCCCGATGCTCTCCTGCCTTTGGCCTTGGTGGAACTGGGCACCAATACAGCTGAAGGGCACCTAGAGCTGGAGGTTGCAGCAAAGTCATAGGGAGCCAGTGCCCGTGGAGGCTGGCGCTGCCTCCTATGAGCTGTGTACAGCAGCTTCTGCCCTGGCCCCGTGTACTGGTGGATGTCCCTCATGTCATCAGGGGCCCAGAGATTGCTTTGTCCTCCAGAAAAATCTGGGTGCTGAGCTTTCGCAAGGGGACTCTATCAGGGAGTGTAGTGATAGGATGAAGGGTAACGGTTTTAAACTGAAAGAGGGTGGATTTAGATTAGATATTTGGAAGAAATTCCTTACTGTGAGGGTGGTGAGACACTGGAACAGGTTGGTCTGAGAACTTGTGGATGCCCCATCCCTGAAAGTGTTCAGGGCCAGGTTGGATGAGGCTTTGAGCAACCTGATCTAGTTGAAGGTGTCCCTGCCCATGGCAGGGGGGGTTGGAACTCGATGATGTTTAAGGTCCCTTCCAACCCAAACCGTTCTATGATTCTATGACTATGGCTCTGAAAAACACCCTGGCAAACACAAACCCCTCCCAGCTGGCTGTACACCCTGCTGTGGGGGCAAAGCGTGCCCAAGGTTGGCAAGCGCAAGAAGGCTGAGGCAGCAGGTCCCAAGTCTCTGCCCTGTTAGGTCAACCACAGGGAAATTGCACTTATTGGGCTATAGCGCCTGGGCAAAGGGGAAGATGCTGATTCCTGCCTGCTGCTACTTCACCCTGCAGGGCTCAGGGGACCTGGTGGGCATCATAAAGTTGGGAGGTAAACTGTTGTTCTCCTGCAGCCTGACACCCCTCAGCCTCTTACCTTCCCTGCTGGGCTCCTGCAGGACCTACCCGTGAAGGCAGCAGGTCCTGTGAACATGACTTCGGTGCAGAAAAACAAGATGAAATTGGTCTGTAAATGCTTGAAAAACCTTTTGAAATAGCCTGCACATCATAAGCCCCAAATACAATCGTGGCTACCAAGGTCCATCTTCCCTGGAGTCCTGGGGTGGGCAAGTGGTGGTGAAAATCAGAAGTGAGGCATCAGAGATTGGGACTCTTCTGGTACGATCTCCCTGTGAGCTGAAGTTTAGAGCCTCTCCTGGATTTCTTTTTCATGTAAACAGCCTGATTGCTCTCCTGATCCCACTATGCATCCAAAATTGCCTGTGGCGGGGAGTTCCCCCAGGGTAACCTTGTTGCTTGTTTTTGTTTCTTCCTCTTTGTGTGTTGTGTTTGCCTGAGTTTTCATGTTAGGCAAGACTGTGCCCCCACTGCATCCCTGGTGGGTGATGCCCTGTGGGCAGCCCATGGGCAGAGCCAGGGACCCATTGCCCCTTGCTGCTCACAGCAGGTGGAAAAAGACACACAGGAGCTGGAGAGGAACCAGTTGGGCACTGTGGACAAAACTCCTTTTGGTCGCCTTTCTTGTGCTCAGGCTTTGGCTCCCTGGGGCAGGCATCATGGCCAACTGGGCACCCCTGGGCACGCACCCTGCGCCCGGATAGCAAGCCCAGCCCATAGAAGAGATGGACCCGCTGCGGATGGACACCTGGAGGGAGATATTTTATGACCTGATAGATGAGGTGAAGCCAGAGGATGAGTGGGACCTGAAGATGGACCAGGGTCTCATTCCGGAAGCCCTGCCCTGGGGATAGACATAGGCGGCGGAGGAGCATGGCTTGGCCCGGTGAGAGCAGTGGGGAGCCAGTCCCAGCCTGTAGCAAGGGATGGGTTCAGAGGGCAGGGTGAAACGCTGCCTGCACAGGCAGAGCCTTGGGATTTACCTCTTTTATCTATGAACTGCACCAGACCCCTGTTTTGAAGGCACACCACCAGTGCCCCCAGGGGAAGCAGTCTGCCTCTGCTCGTCTCTCTCTGCCTGCTTGCCTGGGTTTGCTTTTTTTGCTGGTGTAAGGTTCTCCTGTATTTTCATATATGCAACCTGCAGGCTACTGGTTAAAAAAATCAAAATGACAAGAAAACCCTGTGTGATCCAGGGGCCATGTGGATTTTGTTTAAGCACTGTGTCCTGCTTATCCCACCAACTCTCCCCCTTCCCCAGAGCTTTCCTTCCTCCGCAGCCTCTGCAGCCCTGTGGAGCCAGCAGATGGAGCTGCGAGATCTCCAGCACTGCACTGGGAAACAGTGGGACCAGTGACCCGCCAGCACTGGGATGGGCCAGCGTTCCCCAGATAGGGGATGCCCTCCCCCTCATCCCTGTGCGCAGCTGTTTCCCTGTAGCGTGGTCCCCCCAGACCATATCCTACATAGATATGGTCCAGGTCAGTGGATGAACTGGTCTCTTGCTGTGATTTTCCACTCTTGGAGCACTGGAGATACACACATGATGCAAAGCGTGGGGCCTCAAACCCCCCTTGATCCCCAACTCTGCCTGGGAGACAGTGATGCCTCAGCAGCAGGGCTGGGGACAATGTGGTGCCACCAGCAGGTACTTGCCCAGGAAGGAGAGCCAGCATGACCTGTCCCCCTTGGAATGAATGTCAGTGATGTCCCGAGCATTTTTGGCAGGGGAAATGTGACTGAGGGAGTGCTTGGGACCCAAAGGGTCTCGTGTCTGAATGGACCTGTCTTTCTGGAGGAGGCATCTCCTTGCTTAGGGTGGCTGAAGCTGAGTGGCTCTGCTGGGGAGGAGGAGGCTGATTCTGCGGCCTGGACCAACTCCCTTCCCTCCTGCACGGCTCTCCCCGTGCTGGGAGCAGCCCACCCTCTCCCTGCCGGCGTTATGTCATGAAGCAGAGACAGGGCCAAGTTTCTTGCTGCCGTTGCCCCTAGCCACCTTCTTTCCATGCTGAGGTTTTCCCAGCCCCAGTCATCATGTCTGGCTGTCCGCAGCCTCCCCAGCCACCCAGCCGCTGAGGGGGAACTCCCTCGCCTCTGCCTGGGAAGCCAGCTCTGGTGGAGACCGCATCCCTGCAGGGGTCCTTATTTTCTTCCTTGGGTCTGCTTGCTCTTTTCCAAGGGCAGAGCCATCCCTCAGTCCCCTGCAATGCCCCTCCGTGCTTCCCCACCCATGGCCCTGCGTGCTTTTCCCTTGGTCCCCTCCCTGCTGCTGCCTGCCTGTCTCCTTTTGCTGTTCGTGCATGTCCCCTCCATCACGCAGCCCTTTCATCCCCTCCCCATTACTCAGAGACACCGGTGCATACATGGGCTTCTCAGCCACAGCCTCATTTTTGGGCTTCTTCCAGGATACCCCTTTCCGATGTGCAGTTGTGCCCATCTCCCACTTGTTTCTTAGCAAACTGCCTTCAAAATGCTGCTTTTCGTGGTTCTTGGCACTTTTGGAGGTCAGGGCAAGCCCCCACAGCTCAGCTTAGCACCCAGGGATGGTGAGCAGTGGCCAGCCCCCCAGCTGGCATAAGGACAGCAAGCCCATCCTGGGGAAGGCAGCTGAAGGACGAAGGATGCTCTCTCTCCCCATGGGTCCCAGGCAGGTCCTGGCTGTCCCCCCTGGTCCATCTGAGGTTGGGGTTTGCTGCAACCAACTCTCAACTCATTCCTGGTACTCACACACAGCCAGGGATGGTCAAACCTCACCCAGGGACTTCTTTCTGGCCTTTCGCCGCAGTCAGACTCATGAATTGCTGTCTCCACGCCTGTCTCCCTGGAGAGAAACTCTCACCACCCCGGCAGGTCGCGAGGTGCCAGCGAATGCAAAGCCTGTTGTTGTTGCTCTCGCTTTTCTCCTCTGCTGCCCGTTCCCAGCCCTCCCTGCAGCCAGCCGCAGCAGCCGCGGGGCACGAAGGGTTGGCACTCGGCAGCACAGCGGCTTGGTGAGCAGGGGGCGAGGGCTGGGTTGCGCTGGGGATTTCCCGGCAAAGCTATCGACGGGAGGCAGTGGAGAGTCTGTATTTATGACTGATCTATTATAGGGCAGCGATATTTTTTAACTTGCCCCGGAGCTGTCTGGGCTCAGATCCTACAGCTGATGGTTTAATGCTCAGGGGGCCATGCCTTGATTTTGCTTTTTCTCTCTCCTCCTCTTCGTCCCTCTGATGTCTCTGGACATGTTAGCAGACCCGTGAGCGAGCAAGCCAGATCCACCGCCCTCCTCCCCGCTGCCAACCCAGAGGAGCCCAGTGCTGTTATTTCAGTTCTGTGCCATAGGAAAATAAGGATCAATAACCCAGCTCTCAGCCCTGGATCCAGGCACATGGTAGGAAACAGTGCCCACGATTTTAAGCTCTCTCCAAAGGCTGGATGCGGAGATGATGCGGAGCCCATGATGCGGAGAAGAGATGCACGGCAGAGCTGTGTCCCTGCCCCAGCTCCCATCTGTGCCTGCTGCAGAGCCTCTGCTGTGAAGATGTACTCTCTCAGTCCAACAGCTAGCGGGGGCAGGCTGATTTTTCACCCCTTTTAAAGCAAAAGTCACATACCTGTTATTTTTTCCGCATGCCAATTGAACCCAGATTTAATTGCTATTCTCAGCATACAGGTTGCTGCACTCTCCTCCTACCACCGCCCCCATCTTCAGTGATGTGCCGAGGCTATAAATAATTGAAGGGCAGGATCTCCTTTGTTGCT